AATAGATTTTAATCTCATCAAGTAAGATGGCAACACTTGATTATTCTAGATGGCCTTGTGAATTAAGTTCTTAGTGTGGATTTATATCCCACGGATGTATTGTGGAACATTGTTGGGTGTTCATTCACGTAAGTGTTTTGTACTTTATCTCCCTCATGGTTGTTGTTATTGACTTTCAACTATGATGGAATGCTGAAGCATTATAGTGTACTCCTCGCTTACAATGATCCATTAGGATAAATCCTATAGGATCAATATGTGAGAACCGACGAGCTGGGTAGCTAAGGGTATGTTGTCTTATAGATATCTACATTGGATTATATCTCTATATTGTCTGGTAACAATTTCTTTTGTAGGATTATCATATATAAGTTATTTTCTTGATAATATCATCGGATTGAAAACCCTATGTGTCTCACCAGGTTCTTAAACAAGACCCACTCAAATGATATACATCACATGTAGTGATACCAAGGCGGTTAGAACTTGAATAGGATACTGAGTGAGTAAAGAGACAAACATGTAATAGTATTCTGGACCGATATGTATTTATGTTATAACCTATGTTTTGTATTGATTATGACATCCTTAGTGCTTTTGGTATTTTGAAACAATGCCTGTTACTCAAAATGTTTTATTAAATAGGACTTTCTACAAACAAAGACAACATGGTTTTGAAGGCATAACGAAAAGTTTTATACAGTTTTGAAAAATAGGGATGTAACATATTTGAAGCATCTTACCTGAATTGAAATCCTTTATAGAGAAAACAAATGGATCAAAAGAAATACACATAGAGTTATCAGTAGTATATTTACGAACGACAACTAAGTTTTGACTATATGAGTAGATACAAGAACATTATTAAGAATTAGAGAATTACTAAAGCTAGGAAGAAATGAGTGACCAATGTGAGTAACTAGAATAAATGCACCATTACCAAAAATTATTGACTTAGAAGTACAGGTGTAAGGAAAAAGAAGTTAGCTTTGTTGAACAATATGTGAGAACTTGCACCCGTATCCATGTAAAAGTGGTTGTCCTGTCGCGGTTGAAGAGAAATTGCTTGGGTCGAGGGGCCTTTTTTGCGAGGTAGTATGGGGGCCAAGAAGAGGATATTTATTTCTCAAATAGCCTTTGCCAAGGAGATTCTATCACATGCTAATATGACCTCCTGCAGTCCTTGCAGCACTCCGACGTACACCAAAACTAAGATCACCCCTTTTGAGAAACTAGTTATTGATCCCAACCTAGTTCATAGTCTTGCTGAGGCTCTCTAATATTTGAACTTTACTCATCCGAATATTACTTAGTCCAGAAAAACTGATTCTTTATGCATGATCCTTATGAACCTCGCTTCCTAGCTCTCAAACACATTTTGTGTTATCTTCAGGGTACCCTCGATCATGGTCTTTATATTCGCCCATTGTCTGTCAATTGTTTGGTTGCTTATCCTGATGTTGACTGAGTTGGCTGTCCTCAAACACGTTGATTAACTTTTGGGTTTTGTGTTTATTTTGGTGGCAATATTTTCTCATGGTCCTCAAAAACGTCAACATGTCGTGTCTTAGTCTAGTGTCAAAGTTGGGTGCATAGGGTAGCCAATGTTGTTACTGACTCCGCTTAGGTTCACAATCTTCTTTTTGAAGTGTCTTGCCTTGTATCTCGTTCTATAATTCTGTTTTGTAACAATGTGAGTGTTATGTACTTAGCTTCTGACCCAGTTCAGCACCAAAGAACCAAACATGTGGAAATAGACTTACATTTTGTTAGGGAACATGTTGCCATTGGACAGGTTTGTGTGTTACATGTTCCATATGCACACCAGTTTGTTGGCATATATACTAAAGGAGTTCCTACACAATTATTTCTAGATTTTTAGAACTATTTAAGCATTTGTGAACCCCATGCTTATGCTTCTACTTCAGGGGGAGTGTTAATTTATATATATTTGTTTAGTGTAAGCTTTTATATTCTTTGTATAGTTGAGAGTCCTTTATGTAAATTAACTTTATATTGGTTGTACTATTTATAACAGTGGAAATATGAACTATATGTCGATCAACTTTTATATTTCTTTGTATAATTGATATTTTCACAATCTATCATGGTTGATCAACGATCATTTTTAATTCTTGGAAATATGAAGATACATTGGAGAAATTGTCAAGTCGTGTTCAAGAATTGATTCTCGAGATAAACAACATGATAATATCACTGGATATGTTCTTAAGGTAGGATCGGACGTCATGAGTTGTTGATTCAAGAGCTATAACTGTATGCACAAGATCATTTAAAATTGTACTGTATATCCACCATAAGATAATAACATCAAGAGGCTCCCACATATCTTTGGTGGTGGCTATTATGACAACATCAGCAGGTGTAATGGGATATAGGGGTTGCCGATTGTATAATGTGATTAATAACCATATATTGCGACAACAAATCGAAAAAAAGTATAGCCCATGACTAGCATTAGCTAATCTTCATTACAAGTGATGGGAATAAAACGATTGTATACTGGAAATAGTAAACACCTTATGGAATTTGGATTTAGTAGCACTGAAAAGACGAAAGAGATGAGAAAAGAGACTGAGAGTAATAAATAAAAGAAGAAAATAAGGTAGGTGTTAGGTTTTTGTGGCTGTAGGGCAAAGACTTGCCTTGTTTGACAAGGCACCATCGATGAGGGTAATGAACTAATGAAGGCATCCGATGAAACAATAGGTAGGACATGTCAATAATGAACTATAGATAATACAAGTCTAATATCATGATAGAAATTGTATATATTTCTGTAGTGTATTGATTTCCCACAAATGTATTTATATATAAGCATAACAATGAATAATCAAATCCCAACTCTTTAAAAATTATCATCAGTGGAATACTAATAAATCTAAGACACTTATATGATTAGTCCATATGGTTTCTCAAAATGGGCATAGTAAGGACAAATTTTGAAACTCTTACGCGATTGGTCAATGTGGTTTCAAAAACTTGTCTGATTAGTTTTTATGTCCGAAAACCGAATAATATAAACATCATTCGATTTGTTTTGACAATTCATTTTTTGTTTTTCCTTGCACCTCTACCATAAAAAAATAAAAAATAAAATAAAATAAAAAACTAATTAAGACGACTTTGTTTGATTCAGAGCGTTGGTTAGGCTAAAATTAACCCATTATTATTTATGGGGATAATGACTTAAAATGTAATATATTTTTTGATTTGTACACATTTAGTCACTGAGTTTTTTTCGTCCACATTTACCCCTTGAACTTGTTAAATTGTACACATTCAGTCTTTATGACTGATTACTCTTGGTTAGCCGAGAAAAATGACTTAATAGGGTAATGTGTTTATCCTTTTGTACACACTTAGTCTTTATTATTTTTGTGCACATTTAGCCCTTAATATTTTTGTTTTTTCAAAATAAGTCGTTTTGGTTTTGTACTCATTCAGCACTTGTGAATGATATCTTTAGGTTTTTTTCACGACATCTTACGTAGGACAATCATTGATGAAGTGTTTCGGGTTATTGATGTTTATGTCCATTGCGATCTCGACTGCTTTGTTGCGTAGGTCTTGTGGATTGGCTTAGGTCTTGTGTTCTGAATATCGTAACTTCTTCATACGATATCAAATTTTAACGATCTTTATATCCACGTGTTCGTTTTTTTAGTCTACTACAACTTACTCTCGTTAAAATATAAGATATTTTTACTTACGATTTTATGAAAAAACATCCATACATGCATTTATAAAAAATATATAGATATAAGGATTGTAAGATTGTAAGTAAAACTATATTACTTTTTAATGGGAGTGAAAGTTGTAGTAGACTAAAATACGAACACATGGATATAAAGTTCGTTAAAATTTGAGATCATATGAAAAAATTATGACGTTCAGAACATATGACCTAAGCAACCAAGTAGTCGAGATCACGATAAATATAAGCATCAAAAGCCCCAAACACCTCATTAATAATTGTCCCACGTAAGATGTCATGAGAAAAAACTTTAAGAAATCATTCATAAGTGTTGAATGAGTACAAAAAAAATGACTTATTATGTAAAAACAAATAAATAAATAAGGTCTAAATATGTACAAAAATATTAATGACTAAATATGTACAAAGTGAGAAATATATTATCATATTAAATCATTTTTACCGGCTAACCTGGAGTAGCCGGTCATAAGGACTGATTGTGTACAGTTTAACAAGTTGAATTGGTAAATATAAACGAAAAAAAAAAAAAAAAAAAAAAAAACTCAGTAAGTAAATATCTACAAATAAAAAAATATAAATTCATTCTTCCTTATTTATGAGAAATTTCGAGAAATAACCAAAAATGAGAGGTGGTTTAAAGAAAATAACCAAGAAAACACAGATTTCAGAAATTGACCAAAAGATCTGCTGAGCATCCTCTGCGGATCGAGTAATCCTTCTGAGGAAAGGAAACAACTCTGCGGAACTTGGGTTTTTTAATTTTTTTTTCGTTTTTTCATTTTTTTTCATTGATTTTCATTTATTAGTATTAATTTTTTTAATACACTAATACCTTATGTGATTATTATGTAAAAAATTTGACAAAAAAATGTTAAAAATAACTAAATGTTTTATGTGATATGTTTGCTACTGATATATGTTTTCCATGTATTTGTATTGTTTTGTATTTTATGTTCTATAGAATAAAGTAGAAGTTAACTCAACTGGTTTCGTAAATAACCTAATACAAACAAAATATATATAAATAATGTAATACAAACTGGTGCATATAAATAACCTAATTAAAATTATACAAATTTTCCATATTTTTTTATAAAATTATACACACCGGTATTCTGAATAATGAACATATTTTAAGTATGTTACAAAACATAATTTAGAAAACATAAACATACAACCTTCATAATAAACATACTTTGAAATAAACTTCATTCATTCAAATTGAACCACGGAAACTTTGATATGTTTTCGTATTCCGTCCATGGGTTTTCTGTTGCTTGTGTCCCTAGGTTTACTATCGCTTGCATCCATTGGTTATCTGGCTCTTGTTGCCATTAGTACTCGGTGCAACCCTGCCATTGGTAATGTGGCTCTTCTTGTTGTTGGTATTCGGTCCCTTGCATCCATTGGTTATGTGGCTCATGTTGCCATTGATGTTCGGTCCCTTGCGTCCATTAGTTATGTGGCTCCTGCTGCCATTGATGTTTGGTATGTTGTGTCCATTGGTTGTCTGGCTGCTGCTTCCATTGATGTTCGGTCTGTTGTGTCTATTGGTTCTCTGTCTCATGCTGCCATTGGTTTTCAGTCGCTTGCGTTAGTTCCTCTTATGTTACTTTTGTCCCACTCCCTGATGCCCCAGTACGTTTTTTACTTTTACTTTGGTTCTTTGGAATGATTTCCTTACACGTTTTTGCATTATGAGTTGTGCTATGGCATTTACTACACCTTCTTATTTTTGGCTCCTCACCTTGAGAGGGAATACGATTGGTGTTTTTGTTGGGTTTTGAGCACTATAACACTCCTATGGTGCACATGCAACCCTAGATGCTTTGGAAATATGTTTTCTCTAATTATACATGCAATTTCAATTTTCCAAAGCATACATCCTAACTAGCATACAATAGAGGATATGCAACATAAAAACCAAGTTAGATGAATACCTCTTGATGTAGTTTGTAGTTCTTGGCCTTAGAAAGCTTTAACACCTCAAGTATGATGCCTCTAATGTTTCATAAACACCAATGCAAGAGGAGGCTTAAGAGAATAGGCTAGTTAGCTAAAAATCAATTATCACTCTCTTAGAATGAATGGGCAACCAATTTTAGCTCTAGGGGGTTGCTTTATAGTGTTACAAAGGCTAAGGTTTCATCCATGCAAACCCTAATGCACCATGACCCTTAATATTACTTAGGCTCCAAGGGTTAAACCTCCATGGACTATCATATTGGTTTAGCCCATCCTAATTAACCATGAATCATTATCCCACACCATAAGAATCATTGATTTACTTAATTAGTCCTTGTATATTTAATCAGTCTCTTTTGATCACTAAATTAATTCCAAAATAATTCTTGATCAATACTAATTAAATAATATGATCTCTCAACTAATATATGTTGCATTAGTGTCTAACCATGTAACTATATTTGGTATGTACTTGACCCGGTTGTGTCTGGTCCTTTTGGGTTGCCTTCACCAAAGCAACTTAACAAGGTTATTTAGGAGAGAGATAAGATATTATGGTTTATTAATATATTATAAGAATAATATATTAAAGGAGAAATCATATTATTTGATTAATATTAGTCATAAATTAATTAGGAATTAATTTGGGGACTAAAAGAGATTAATTGAATAAATGGGCATAAACTGTCAAATGTGTGATAATTGAGTTTTGGGCTGGGAAACCTAACGGACTAAGGGGGAACGAAATTATGATGGGGATCCATCATATTTTTCATCCAAAGGCCCTAATCTAGAAGGTTCCATGGGATGCTTGGTGACTTAGCTGTCCATTAGGGTTTAGACTAAAACCCTAGCAGCCTACACTATAAATAGAGGCCCTTGGATGCAATTTTCGAAAGCTTGACTCCAAGTGAAACCCTAGGATCGATTTTTAGTGTTCTTCCTCCTCTCTCATAATATCCTTCTTGCTTACGGTGTTTATGAACCATTAAAGGAGTTACAATTGTGACTCTAAGCTCAAGATCAAGAAGATTCAAATGATTTCAAGCCAAGTGAAAGAGGTAAACACTTAGATTTGTTCTTATAATATTAATTTCAAATTATACATGCTATATCTAGGGTTACAAGTCTTGGATTAATTACATGTACAATAGAGAAGCCTAGATCCAAGCTTTAGGGTTTTGCATGAGCACATAGGATGTTCTTTTGCTTTAAAACCATCAGTGGTATCAAAGCCTTGATTGGTTTCTATTGTATGTTATGTAATTGTTGAGTTTTTGCTGAAAATCGTTTTTCTAGCCTCTGCCCGACTCAACTCGGCGAGTCAGTATCTGGACTTTGCGAGTTGGCCCAATTCAGCGAGTCCAGTAAATGACTCAGCGAGTTCGGGAGTCATACATAGCATATCTCGGGATTTCTCGTTGTTTTGCTATAGGATAAATGCCAAAATCGTTTTTTGATAATAAAATTTGAAGTTTATTGTATATAAATCATTATCCTTACCAAAACAAAAGATAATTTCAAATCTTTTGAATAATAGTTTCTTTATATGATAAATAAGGATTATTTAAATTATTTGGTAATTATCTTGTGACTAAAATTGGATTAGGTCAAATATAGATAATCATGAAATTAATTGTTTAATTTATATTATTTTTTATTTGATCCCTTGTGTTTTGAAAAGTTCAAAACTTGTCCTCGAGTTTTGAAATTTAAATTTTATGATTAAAAGTTTAATTTTGAATAATTTAAATTTCAAACCCTTAGAATTTTACAAGTTTAAAATTCAACCCTATACTATTATATTATTACAAGATTAATTAATATATATGTATAACTTAAAGTGCTAGTCTTGCCGTTAGTAGGCCTCATTCACGAAGTCAATCTATAAGGGGGTATAAGGTTATGGCCTATAAATGGCTGTTTAATGGGTATCCACTCTTACCCACCACTTCCTTGATTGGTGGAGGGTCGTTAGCCGAACGGGTAGGATAGGGAAATCCTCTCCTCGTTAAAAGTATAATGAATTATACAAAGTAAATACAATGTTTTCACAAATTCCCAATCTTAGTTACTTTAGGGTAAAATGTGAAATTGATGCTACTCCATGGAATTACACTTTGTACCCTTGTCAAACGTTAGTGGAGCGTGTGTGGTTAACCGGCACACTAATTTGGGATTGACATTGGTAGCGAAGGGTGGCTCAATGTTTGTCATAGATCAATGGAGCGTGTGTGGTTTACCGGCACATTGATTAGGTGATAGAGACATTGAGTGCACCATGTTGATTCGCATGGTTGTTTGCACCTTGTTTGTGATCCTCAGTATCCCAGTCAAAAAACTTGAAGGGCATATCAAGATTTAAACATGCCATTCAAAAGTTCAATGAATCTCAAAGGAATCTAGGAGTTTTCAAATACATTTAAAACTTAATTTTCTTTCATTTTTCATGGTGGAAATTAGTGAATCGTCATTCACTTACCCTCAAATTATTTTCATTTAAATTACGGCATCCCTTTTCTAAGTTATGAATAATGTTGTTGGATCCTAGCCCTAATTTTTCATTTGGGTGTTTAATTGCGGATTCATTTCTAATTAAACTTTGTTCCTTTCTTTATCAGATGTCTGCTAACAACAACAACACTTCTGGGTCATTCTCGCTGATGAACCTATGTCAAAAGGTGACATTTGATGGGTCGAATTTCAACGAGTTGCTGAGGTACATTCGCATGATCACTTGCTACGAGGACAAAGAATATGTCCTGGATGAGAAGCTTGAAAAGATCATCCCAGATGTTGCTACTCCTGAATAATTGGCCACCTTTGAGGCCCACGAGCGGGATGCTATGAAAGTTCATTGCATCATGTTGGCCACCATGAACCTCGAACTCCAAAAGTCCTATGAGGACATCTACCGTATGAAATGCATCAAGATTTGTTGGATAGGTACCACCAAAGCGCGAGGTAAGAGCGCTATGAGATCATTACTAACATGATCACCGCTAAGATGGGGAGTGGAGAATCCCTAACCTCTCAATTGTAGAAAATGCAGAGGTATGTTGATCGTCTTCTCAAACTTAATGTTAAGTTGGATAAGGATTTGGCTATCGACATCATCCTCCACTCCTTGCCTTGCTGTTATAACTAGTTAAGAATGACCTACCACATGAATAAGGAAGAGGTCTCCTTGAGTAAGCTTCAAGGACTGCTAAGGACTGCTTAGAGCAACCTCAAGGACAAATCTATTACACCATCCCCTGGTGTGGCTGCTCCTGTGTTGGCAATTGGTGAAGGGAATGGAAATTAAGAAGAACAAGGATCCTTCAAAGAGCCACCAAAAGGGAAAGTACCATGATGGTTCATCCTCTAGTGGGACCAAAGAAGGTCCTGCTAAACCCTCCTATGATGCTAAGGAAGCAGAGTGCTTTTATTGCCACGAGAAGGGCCACTGGAAACATAGCTACGCTAAATATCTGCACGACATTAAGGATGGGAAGATAAAGCCCACCTTCGCATGTATATATTCTATTAAATCTAACAACTCATCACTTTCTACTTCATGGGTTCTAGATACAGGATGTGGTTTTCTCATTTGTTCTGATTTGCAGGGCCTAAGAAAAAGTAGGGAGGTGGAGCATGGGAAAATAAACTTGATTATGGGAAACTGAAGATCGTCGCCTGTGACCAAAGTCAGAGTTTATTCTTTAGTGTTGAGTAATGGGTTAGGGTTATATTTAAACAATTGTTGCTATTCGCAAGATATGGCAAAGAACATCATTTCTTTTCATGGATTATATAGACAGGGTTTCAGATATTCATTTGATAATAGTAATGGTTCTATTAATGTTTATTTGAATGGTGTTTTTTATTTCAATGCATTTCCTTGTAATGGAATAAATGAATCTGTGTTGGTTGTAGACAATTTAGGAATTGATGTGTTGAATATTGATTCGTCTAATAGTCTAGACAAAGCATGCTTGTGGAATTGTCGCCTTGGCCATGTCAACAAGAAACGCATAGCCCAACTCCAAAAGTATGGAGTGTTTGAGTCATTCGACCTTAAGGACAATGACGTTTGTGAATCTTGTTTACTTGGGAAGATGACCAAGTCACCCTTTACTGGCACTTATGAAAAGGGTGAGGGTCTATTGGATCTCATACACATCGATGTGTGTGGGCCCTTTAGATCCACCACAAAGGATGCTTGCCGCTCCTACGTGACTTTTACGAATGATTATAGTAGATATGGATATATCTACTTAATCAAGCAAAAGTCATAAACCTTAGAAAAGTTCAAAGAGTTTAAGAATGAAGTGGAGAATCAGTTGGGCAGGAAAATCAAGATGCTTTGGTCAGACCGAGGAGGAGAGTACCTAAGTCTTGACTTTCACGACTATCTAAAAGAATGCGGAATTGTTTCGCAATTGACGCCTCCGAGAACGCCATAACTGAATGGTGTAGCTAACAGGCGTAATCGGACCTTGTGGGACATGGTGCGTTCTATGATGAGTCAGGCTTCATTACCAATAGTTTTCTGGGGGTATGCCTTGGAGACTACCGCCCATATCCTCAACCTAGTTCCCACCAAAAAGGTTGCCAAAACACCTCATGAGATGTGGACAGGAAAAGCTCCCTCATTGGCACATATCAAGTTTTGGGGTTGTGAGGCTTTCGTAAGATGAGAGACTCACGACAAGCCCGAACCTCATA